CAAGAAGATGAATTCCTTGAACAAACAACAATGTATCCACTTGAAACATATATTATGTTCTGCATCAGCTATTGTAGTATAAGAACTTGGCTCTAGGTATGAACTGGTAGCTAGTTAAAGTGGCATTGAAGCTGCCGTTAAGACATCCTATCACCAAGAGTAGCCATTTCTTCTCCAACCCCATTTTGTACTTAAAACACCAGTCTTTGTAATACTTACTCCACCAAGAATATGTAAGCCAATTGTATCTACCAAACCAGTGTAGTACACAAACCATATTCAACACACACATTCTTCATCGTTCTCCTAAGCTCCACTATGAAAGTCTTGAACTCTGGCTGTGCTAATGGACACACCATAATGACATATTTCTTCATGCTGAAATCTGAGTCGTATTTCTATTGTACAGCAGATTCCATATTTTCTTGTAGGCCAAACTCTTGTGAATTCGACAGCTCCAACATGTCGTTACGATTGAAACACTACTTTGGCCAGTCCCACTAAGGTGCGTTAGATGGTAACCCCCTGGTTCCCATACCCGCTGAATTTGTGGAAACAATTTCTGATGAGAAGAAAACATTTCGCGCTGCTGAAACACATCTGGCTTTGATAATCCATCTTCTTGAGCAATGTTTGTAATTACATCTGTCGCACCATTCAACTTTATCTCATGAATCGAAGAATGTATTTCAGTGGATTTACCCGGAACTGTAGAATTTAGGACTGATCGGTTAAACTTTGGAGAATCAGGAAGTCGTGAGGGTTGTGATGTCTCTTCTCTCTTAGTCTCATCAAATATCACATTTGGAGAAGCAAATAAGTGACTTCCCATCACCGGTTGTGAAAAATCATAACCCATATCCTTCTGCTCAATGTGGTCGACTTGTTTTTTAAGTACTTTTGTGCCTAAGGTGGCTGATTCCAAATAACCATATCCATTAAGCATAGAAGATGACGAGAGATGACAATTTGCAGCTGCTACATCGGATTGTTTGGTCAAAACAGAATCATATTCCACAACAGCAGTGTCATGGAGTTGAATCACTTCCTTTTCCTCTAATTTGTGCACTTTACCACAAG